AAACGGATCTTTACCAACCTGCAGCATGACATATCTATTATTTATAATTCTAAAATCTTAAATAGGTAGTCTACCGAGAACATTTAGATGCTAGTGAATAGATTGGCATGACTTAAGAACATTAATTTGTTTGAGACAACAATAGCAAATAAATGGGCAAATCATCATTTTCTACTAATAGAAATTAATTAATGTGGGGGGGGGGCATTTATTTTTTTAAGTTCCTAGATACACCTCTGCTTGGCAGCATCATGTGATGGGGAAAACTAGCTAGTGGCTGTAAGTGGCTATGAGAAAACTGAGTACAAACCCAAAATATAAAAGAAAGTGCATTATTCATTTCAACAGATGATTATTTTGTAGTTGTGTGGAAGGTAACACACAGGCTAGATCTGGAGCTATTTTTCCACCAAATTAACATCAGCATGGTGGCAAATATATCGTCATTTCAAACTTGTCTAGTTTTGGTTAGCAGCAGCAACACAATGCAGCTCAGTAGTGTGGCGTTTTAAACTGTGTAGTAATGTGGCCATTACAATACATTATGTAGAGTCCCTAAATAAAGACTGCTACAAGTCTTTATTCAGTTTAATGAGATTTCTGTCAATGTTCCATAAAGCTTGTCCAATCTTGCAGCAGCCGCTATAACAGAACACAGTTGTGGGTGGAACACGGTTAGGTCAATTTTGCATTGGACAGTACTCTAATGTGCTCCACAGACTGCCTTTCAAGGCAAGACAGATCACAGATCACATCAATATAGGTGACTGGTATCTATGAAAAAACACTCAGAATCCAATTGTCATTGCACTTTGACCCACACAGAACATTAAGGTGATTGGGAGGGCATTTTTTGAGGCAGGCTGTAGTTCCACATATGTGTGAAGGGTAATGGGAGGAAGAGCCAAAATAGAAAATGATAAAAAGGGTTTCAACAGCTGTGATAGCAGCTGCTGTCAGCGTGATGAATCTGCAGCTGGAAATCACAGACAGCGGGCTTACCTTTCCCCTGATGCAGGACTAATTAGTCAAACTAAAGATGACGAGAGAGAGAGAGAGTGAGAGAGAGAGAGAAAGAGAGAGCAGTCCACTCTTCCACCAGTACCAGGGACCTACCTCAGAGGATTTGCCATTGCTCATTGCTAACCACACGGTGGGAAATGACAGAAGTATGATTGCTTTATAATACTGATTTGCCTTGCCTGCAAACCTAAATGATGGTATGTAATTTCATGAAATAACAGCACAGGCAGCAGGACTGCCTGAAATAGGACTGGAGACTCTGAAGTCTCGATCCAAAAGCAACATAACCATTGTAGAATGCATGTCCATATGGATGTGCACATATGGATGCATGTCCATATCTGTATGTGCATGCATGAGTGTGTATGTTTGTTCATGTATGTGCAGTACTGTGTAAAGGTCTTGGGGCATCTCAGTAAATGATATGTAAAGTCGTTTATCTGGCCAAATAAACAAACGAACAATACATTGTGACTTCATGTGTGTCAATGTGTTGGCAAAATCATTTCCAAAGCTCTCCTTGAGGAAGTCCAGAATTTACAGTTGCTGTTAAGACAAGACAAATATAGCCAATGTATTTACCAAAATGATCAGTGAACCTACATTTTTATATGCAGTGATAACAACAGTAACAACAGTAAAATAATGGTAAATCTGAAAAAAAACCTTTATTTGGTGACTATTTTATAAAGCCCTGCGTGCACCTCTCTGCCATAAATGGATTAAAAAAAGTTTTTGGGCTCTCCATGTGTAAATGACAAGGCTAAAAGAAACTGATATTGAATGACCGTGACCTTTGATCCCTCAGACGGCACTGCATTAAAAACCGACATGCTTCTGTGATGAATATAACCACATGGGCTTCCCAATATTTAGGAAAACCCTAGTTAGTAAACACAGTTTGTCACTGCACCTATAAATGCAAGTTAAGACTTTACTACAAAAAGTGGAACATCCGGAAACGCCACCGACTTCTCTGGGCTAGAGCTTATCTCAGATGGGCGGACACAAAGTGGAAACATATGCTGCGCTCTAATGAGCCTACTTTTCAAATTGTTTTTAGAAATAATTGACGTTGTGTTCTCCGGGCCAAAGAGGAAGAGGACCATCCTGACTGTTACCAATGCAAAGTTAAAAAGCTAGCATCTGTCTTGGTATGGGGGTTATTTAGTGCCAATGGCATGGATAGCCCCATTAATACTGAGGGGTACATGCACATTTTGGAGCAACATATGCTGCCATCTAGAAGATGATGTGCATGTTTAAACACATTCTGCACGTTACAGCAGCGCGTCTTCACAGTAAGGTGCTAGACTGGCCTGCCTGCAGTCCAGACCTGTCTCCCATTGCAAACGTGTGGTGCATTATGAAATATAACATATGACAACATAGGCCCCAGACTGTGAAGCAGCTGAAGTGTAATATCAAGCAAGAATAGGAATAATTACACTTTCACAACTGCAACAATTGGTGTCCTCAGTTCCCAAACAATTACTGAATGTTGTTAAAAGAAAAGGCGATGAAACACAGTGGTAAACATGTCCCTGTCCCGAAGTTCTTTAGCATTTACACTACAAATGCTATATTGTCATATGAGTCCTCAACCACCTCTGAAGGTGGCCAGAGTGATGAATCAGAATGCGTCTCTGAAACACACTGGACCCCTTTAAACACCTGTACTTAGACCAAATTCCATTTCTTATTTTTACCCCTACCCCTTGTTTTCGAGTGTCACCT